GGATGGTCTCGATCTCCTGACCTCGTGATCCGCCCGTCTCGGCCTCCCAAAGTGCTGGGATTACAGGCTTGAGCCACTGCGCCCGGCCCCGGAACTATCTTTTTAATGTGTACACTTTTCAGGAACTCCAGCCAATGGGGCTCTGTGAACCAATCACAGCCTCTGTTTTAGAGAGCTCTGGATGCAAGATACACACAAGAGGCAGAGACGGGGAGAGGCTGATACAGGAGAACCACCCACAATTAGCGCAGTCCTAGTGGGTGGGAAGTGGCATCTTATGGTAGCTTTGATTTGCATTTACCCTATGACTAATGATGTTGAGCATCTTTTCATGTGCTTATTGGCCATTTGTCTATCTTTTCCCAAGAAATGTCTAGTCAAATCCTTTGCCCAGGTTTAATTGAGTTATTCATTCTTTTACTGTTGCATTATAAAAGTTCTTTATTCTGGATACTAGACTGTTATCAGATATGTCCCTTGCAAATATTTTCTCCCATTCTGAGGGTTTTCGTATTCTTTTTTTTTTTTGAGACGGAGTCTTGCTCTGTCACCAGGCTGGAGTGCAGTGGCGCAATCTTCGCTCACTGCAACATCCGCCTCCCGGGTTCAAGTAGTTCTCCTGCCTCAGCCTCCTGAGTAGCTGGGACTACAGGCACACGCCACCATGCCCGGCTAATTTTTGTATTTTTAGTAGAGACAGGACTTCACCATGTTGGCCAGGATGGCCTCGATCTCTTGATCTTGTGATCTGCCCACCTCGGCCTCCCAAAGTGCTAGGATTACAGGCGTGAGCCACCACACCTGGCCAGTTTTTGTATTTTTTTTTTTTTTTGAGATGGAGTCTCGCTCTGTCTCCCAGGCTGGAGTGCAGTGGCCCGATCTTGGCTCACTACAACCTCTGCCTCCTGAGTTCAAGTGATTCACCTGCCTCAGCCTCCCAAGTAGCTAGGACTACAGGCGTCCGCCACCACTCCCGGCTAATTTTTGTATTTTTAGTAGAGACGGGGTTTCACCATATTGGCCAGGCTGGTCTCGAACTCCTGACCTTGTGACCTGCCTGCCTCGGCCTCCCAAAGTGCTGGGATTATAGGCGTGAGCCACCACACCTGGCCCAGTTTTTGTATTCTTAAGAGCGCCCATTGAAGGTCAAGCTATTTGTATGTTAGATTTCCCAAACACTGATTGTCTTGCTCAAAGATGATCATAACTGCACATGGTGGCTCATGCCTATAATCCCAGCACTTTGCGAGTCTGAGGCAGGCAGATCGCTTGAGCCCAGGAGTTCAAGACCAGCCTGGGCAACCTGGAAAAACCCTGTCTCTACAAAAAAAAAAAAAAAACCAAACATTAGCTGGGCGTGGTGGTGTGTGCATGTAGTTCCAGCTACCCAAGGAGGGGCTAAGGCGAGAGAATCACCTGTGCCTTGGAAGGTCAAGGCTTCCATGAGCTATGATCTATCTCTGCAGCCTGGGCGACAGAGTGAGACTCTGTCTCAAACAAAACAAAACAAAAAAAAAAGATGATCATAAAATGCAACATCTGCAGCCATAAAAAAGAATGAGATCATGTGTTTTGTGGGAACATGGATAGAGCTGGAGGCTATCATCCTCAGCAAACTAACACAGGAACAGAAAACCAAATACAACATGTTCTCACTTATAAGTGGGAGCTAAATGATGAGAACTTAATGAACACAAAGAAGGAAACAGCAGACCCTGGGGTCTACCGGAGGCTGGAGAGTGGGAAGTGGGAGAGGAGCAAAGAGAACTAATTCCAGGATAAAATAATCTGTACAACAAATCCCTGTGACATGAGTTTACCTATGTAACAAACCTAAAAGTTTAAATAAATAAATAAATAAATGTAACATCTTTCTAAGTGGCCTGAATGGTTTTCAGCTGGTTGGACTCAGCAGCTCACATGGAGACAAATCCTAGGGGGCAGCTCGTTAGAGGGGAGGGTCTCCTTGGGCTGGAGCCCTCTTTGTCTGCTGCCCACAGGGAGCTCTATACATGGCAGTATACCCTTCCCTTACCCCCAGGTGCTGGGGCTGGGTGGGAAACTGAGGATGCAGCTTACCTTTGGTATCACACTGGTAGGAAGAGATTCACAATCCTGTCTGAGCCCTGTTGTTCTCTACATTACAATCATCACCTCTTACCAGGATCTAAACTTTCTTGGTTCTTCCCCTGAGAAAACTAGTCTAACTTGAAGTTAAAACTTAACTCTAACATATAAAGTTTTAACTTTCTGTAAGTGCCACCACCTGAGCTTTAATTTAGTAGTAAAAATATATGTTGACAATTATCTGAAAATATCCCAGTAGACAGAGACATGAAAGACAGGCTGGCTGTACCCTTCCATTAGATGAGATCATGAATCACTCTTGACACGAGGGCATGGCCAGCTGGAACACTTACACTCAGGGCGTGGCTCCGCAGGTGCTCCTGTCGCGTGAACCTCTTGCCGCAGGTCTCACAGGGGTAGGGCCGCTCGCCTGTGTGTGAACGGATGTGCCGCTTGAGGATGCCCTTCTGCTTGGCAGTGTAAGGGCAGAAAGGACACTTGTGGAGCTTGATGGGGACCACCAGCACATCACCTGGGGAACCAAATGCTTTCATTTAGCTGTGCTGTACGCAGTGACCAACCTGGCTACCCACTGGTGGATGGGATCCAGAGCTGGGGAATTCCACCAGCCCAGATGAAGGAGGAGGACACCAACTCCACCACCAGCCAACAGCAAGACATCGTCTGCAATTCCAACTCAGTCTGGCTCCCAATCAGCCCCAGGGTAAAGTGTACTTCTTATAAGGTCGGGAATGCTGTAAGGCACCAGCTTCCACGCTTCTGTGTGACTCACAGTTAGAAACTCAGCTTGCATTACAACCTCAAAACACACATGCCTTATGTGGATAACTGGAAAAGTTTCCCAAAACAATACTTACCCTGATAGTGTTTATTCTGTTTGATTTCATTTTAAGACTGCTGGGGGCCAGGCACGGTGGCTCATGCCCGTAATCCCAGCACTTTGGGAGGCCAAGGCAGGCGGATCACAAGGTCAGGAGATCGAGACCATCCTGGCTAACACGGTGAAACCCTGTCTCTACTAAAAATACAAAAAATTAACCGGGCTTGGTGGCG